CTGTTCATGGAGTTTTCTTGGCAAAGATACTGGAGTGGCTTGCCAGTTCCTGCTCCAGGTGGATTGCGTTTAGTCAGAACTCTCCACTATGACCTCTCCGTCTTGGGTGTCCCTGCACGTCATAGCCCATAGCTTCTCTGAATTACTCAAGCTCCTTTGCCACAAAAAGGCAGCAATCCATGAAGGAGCTGGGATGCATTATGGAGCAGAAAAGCTGAGGACTCTGTGTGTCCAGGAGGGTGGTTTTGTTTCTCAAAGTATGCTCAACTGTTGGGGAGAGGGCACCTTCGGCCACCTGGGGCTGGGCGAGGCGGGGGGCCTTGGAGCCAGTCTCTTTTTGTCGGGGGGGGGAGCTGGCCTCTTTGGGCCGGGAGGTGGAGGTGGTGGCATGCAGGGAGCGGCACACGGTGCTCCTTGGCACCAACAGCAGTGTGGCTTCTTGCGAGGACAACAGCTGGGGGCAGCTGGGCAGGAGACTTCCGGAGTGGACGACAGCGCAGCTCCGTGCCAGGTAGGAACAGAGGAGTGGCGCGGAGGGCGTTCCCTTGGAGGGATGGGGTAGGCTATTTCTTCCCTCTAGGGTAGGGGTGGGCAATTAATTTCAATAAGGGGGCCACATGAAAAATCTGAACTGTATTCGGGGGCCAAACCAACTTTACTTAAACACTGATGTTATGATTGTTTTTATTTTAAACTTGTTAATCTTCACAAATACTAACGAGATTTTTTTTTTGCGGTATGTTAAAGATAAGCAATTGATCAACTTTAGACAAAAAGCTATAAATGGTTTTTATGTTCAAAACTGTCCGCAGGCCAGACAGGAGTGGCTCACGGGCCATATGTGGCCCTTGGGCCTCACTTTGCCCAGGTCTGCTCTAGGGCAGGCCTAGGCAAACGACAGGCTTCTGTCATTATCCTAGCCATGTGTTTTCCGGCTCCATGGGTAGGATTTGCCGTCATCTTCTAGATCGCTCCGGTCAAGCAGTGCCAGGTTAATGCACGGGCCAAGTTAAGGGAGAGGAAGAGGGCTCAGCTTATATCTGTCTGGATATAAGGAGGGAACAAGGAGGAAAAGAAGGCAGAAGGAGCAAAAGAGGAAGACCTTACGTTAGATGGACTGGGTCATTAAGGAAACCACCGACTTTAATTTGCAGGGTTTTCAACAATGGGATTGTTCAGAGGTCACAATGCACATAACCACAGTTTATGGGGGAACCTCTGAATATGCTTTTTTACTAAATCACATGAGCCGATTTGTAATACAGCATAACTGTTTGAAGAGTGAAATTTTTTGTTATGTTGCCGGAGTGTTTTTAAAAGTGAGAAAACCGACCTGACGAAAGTCGTATACATAGGTAGGGAAATCCACAGCCAGGCGATACTTTTATTAAAGATCGCGCGCGCAAAGGACTACACAACCCAAAGCTTTCTGTGCATTGTTACAAAAAAGGAAAAAAAAGGAGACATAACAAGGGCACGTTTGCGCTGGTCCTCGAGATGGGACTGGGTATAAATGGCCGCGCTGGGGCTCGGCAAAAGTTGCATTTTGTCCTGTTATCAAAAGGCGAGCCGCTCTCTGATCTGGAGCGCCTTTCGTGCATTTTGGCTCTCCATCCAGATGTTCTTCCTTCGCTCCATCCGTAACGGAGCCTTTTGTTCCTGCAGCATTATGTTTTAACCCAACATTTTTCTATGCATTGGTATGGGAAGGATTTGTGTGTGTGTGACAGAGAAAGCTTGAGAGAGAGAGGTGTATTCTTCCTCTATCCTGGGGTGGGGGGGCGGGAAGGAGCTTGCTGCCTAGGAGCCACAAAGACAAAGGTTTCCACCCTTCGCAGCCTGTCAGTTTCACTTTCCGCTTACGAGTTTCTGTTGTTCGGAAGATGACTCGCCCGCCCGAACACTTTCGCTTTCGTTTCTTCCTCGTCCGCTCCGGCGCAAGTCCTCCTCGCCTTCGTCTCTGATCTCGGAGGCAAGAGATGATTTTCTTGTCGAGACCGAGCGCTCAGGAGGAACAGATCTGACAGACAACTACGTGTTGGAAAGACATGATCACCGCAGATTTTGAGGTTGAAGAAATCAAGTTGCAACTACTTAATTCAACCATGAACTGCCCCACAGTGATTTTAGGACATCCAAGAAGTGAGACAAGATCGTGCTGCAATGGATCGCAGCTGTTAAAGATTTTCAGCTTCTAAAGACATGTTACCTATAAAGAGTTGTGTAATAGTAGAACTCTAGGAGAATTTCTGGAAACACTTACAGTGTAAATAAGGATATGCATTTCATTTAAATAATCCAGTATGCTCTGGAAACACAGTGTAAATAAGGATATGCATTTTATTTAAATAATCCAGTATGCTTTTCCAACAGCAAAAACCATACTCAATAGATGCCCTGAGAAACCTTCATGTGATTTATGTGAGCTGTGGAGATAAGCATACTGCTGTTCCCACTCAGGTACATTCCCTAAATCGGTGGTCACCAACCTTGGGACTCCAGATGTTCTTGAACTAAAACTCCCAGAAGCCTTCACCACTAGGTGTAATGGCCAGGATTTCCGGGAGTTGAAGTCCAAGAACATCTGGAGGCCCAAGATTGGGGACCACTGCCCTAAATGATTTCTCCAGTGTTCCTATCAGCAGGTACTGTTCAAAAGGTAAGTAGCGTCACACAGGGTATAAATATGAGGAACACTTGGAATATTATGGGTGAAGGTGATTAGTTCTGCAGTTGATAGAACAATGAGTAACTAGGATAGGATGATGAGTAATTGTGGCTGGATATCAATGTATTTTCCAGGGCTTTCATGGCCGGGATCTGATGGTTGTTGCGGGTTTTTTGGGCTCTTTGGCTGTGTTCTGAAGGTTGTTCTTCCTAACGTTTCACCAGTCTCTGTGGCCAGCATCTTCAGAGGACAGGAGTAGGAACTCTGTCCATGCTCTGCCCATGTTCCTACTTGACACCAAATACAGTAGCAAGATGGAAGCCACATTTTAATCCTTTTAAGAAGAGGGCTGCTGTTCTGTCCACACTTTACTTGCAGAAGATTTCTGGTTCAATCCCCTGCACCTCCAAGTGGATCAAGAGAAAAGCGAAGGAGAGAAGGCCTTGAACCTTCCAGATGTTTTTTTTTAACTTCAGCTCCTAGAAGCCTTGGCCAACAAGGGATTATGGAAGTTGTAGTCCAAAGACCAGTTAAAAGCTGTAGCCCAGAGAGATCCCCCAGAATTGGGATAGCCTAAATAAAAAAGAGCATGAGACTCTTAATCTCAGGGTTGTGGTTAAGGGACGTGGTGGCACTGAGGGTTAAACCATAGAAGCCTCTATCCAGCAAGGTCAGAAGACCAGCAGTCGTAAGATCGAATCCACACAATGGAGTGAGCTCCCGTCGCTTGTCCCACCTCCTGCCAACCTAGCAGTTCGAAAGCATGTAAAAATGTGAGTAGATAAATAGGTATCACCTTGGTGAGAAGGTAATGGCGTTCTGTGTCTAGTCGCGCTGGCCACGTGACCACGGAAACTGTCTATAGACAAACGCTGGCTCTACGGCTTGGAGTCAGGGACTTGACGGGACTAAATGTCAAGGGGAACCTTTACCATAAATCAAAAAAGAGTCCTGCCTGACTGCGCACCCCCCATTAAGCACTGGTTGACAGTACTGGGCTAGTTGGGCCAAATAGAGACCACATTAAAATGCCATTGAGGGAAACATGGTTGAGCCTGTGCTTGAGATGCAGAGAGCTGGTGGTTCGAACCCCATCATCTCCAGGCAGGGGAAGGGGCAGCTTTAGGATCAGGTACCGTCTTCACAGAAGCTGGCATCGCGACGAGTTATAAACCAGCTTTATGTTGACAGTACTGGGCTAGTTGGGTCAAACAGAGACCACATTAAAATGCCATTGAGGGAAACATGGTTGAGCCTGTGCTTGAGATGCAGAGAGCTGGTGGTTCGAACCCCATCATCTCCAGGCAGGGGAAGGGGCAGCTTTAGGATCAGGTACCGTCTTCACAGAAGCTGGCATCGCGACGAGTTATAAACCAGCTTTATTTTCCCTGCCATTCTTTCGTTTTTGGCAGAAAGGAGGGAGGGGGAGAAAAAAACTTTGCTCCTATCCGCGGTTGCGGTTTCTGTTTCCCCGGCAGATCCGCCGCCTGCTACGTTCCGAAAGTGAAGCGACCCAATAAGCACCCAAACGGAGAAAGCGAAAACATAAAGCACGAGGAAGCTCCTCCCCTTTCCCCGCCCACAACCCCCCCCCTCGCCGGCGAGTCCGAGAAATAGGGGCAGATGGAAATGAAGGGAATTAGGGGTCGGGGGAAGCATTCAGACGTTAACGCTCTGAAAACCCCACTTCTGTTTTATTCTATTTCACTTTATTCTGCGCCTTCAGATTCCGGCCAGACCTTCTTCCTGTAGAAGCGCGTGGTATCCTAGGACCGGGGTTTAGGCGAGCTCGACCGGTTGGACTCCCTGGGTACCCAGCTGATGAAGAAAGCAGCGCAGAATATGCCGAGGCGGTCCAGGCGGGGGGCGCCCCCCAGAGGAAAAAGGGCTCCCCCTCCGGACCCGCCGCCCCCCGCATCCTCTCTGCCCAGGGACGCCTTGCTGCTGTTCCCCCGGTCCGGCTACCCCGCCAGCCTCTTCCAGGAGAAGCTGCCCGGAGCCATTCGGCAGGTCAAGTGCACACGCGTCGGGCTGGTGGTCCTCAAGGCCGACAGGGAGGTGCTGGTTTTTGACAGAGAGGAGGACGGTGGCTGTCCGAGCCGCGCCGGGAGACCCAGTGAGTAACTGGGGTCTGAAAGACAGGGAGTGGGAGGACTGGGAAATGTCGACCCGGTCCTGTATACCAGCTCCGTCTCCGTTCTAGGAGAAAGGGAAGGTAGGGATGAAACTGGGAAAGGAATAAACTAAGAATCACTCGAGCAACTCCCGCTTTTGCTGATCCTGCTTAACGGACTCCCCAAAAGATTAGTGGGGTGAGGGGCATGCTTTGCCTCGGCCCATTTGACCAGGGCAACTTGTGCCCTCCTGGCATGAGAGCCAGAAGCTTCAGTAGCTGAAGTTTTTCACATCTCAAAGAATAAGAGAGCTGCTATTTTCTGAATCAGATCTAGATGATGTGTTACATTCGTGGGCCTGAAAAGTTTTAAAGTGAAGCCGAGTTTTTTGAAAGTTTGGAAGCAGAAGAAACGCACCAGCCTTCAGAGAGGCGGAGTTATGGAATTCCCGTGTGAATTGCGAATTGAAGAAGTATCATATCTTGCCTCCAGATTGGAATGGGACTAACCCAAACTGAGTATATCATGCGGAGACATAACAGGAAGTCCCATCTGGTAGATTCCCTTGCTTGGCAGCATCAGAGCTGTTTCGATGTCGCAGTCATGCTACAAGTTTGTGTTGTTCTAAGGATGCACAAGGTCTTGGGTCCGAATGTCAGATGAAGCCTAAAGACCATTGTCAGGCATTTATCTTTGGGAACAGCCCTCCGGCTCAGTGGTAGTACAGTACAGGTTTCTGGATTCATTCTGGGTTCAGTCTTCGGTATGTCCAGAGACTTATAACCAGAAAATTATCATGTATCTGGTTATAAGAAAGCCCCTTTAATTCCTGCAAACCAGAGTTTCGAAAAGCTTATTTTTCTGGACTACAGCTCCCAGAATCCACCATCACAGATATTGCTGACTGGAAGGCTGGCGGTGATAGCTGGTGGATTTTTAGGCATTCTAGTCCAAGAAGACTGGCTTCCAAGTTCCTTCTCAAGTATGATTTATGCAAGTCAACTTTTCTGTATAATTTTTCCAAGCTCTCTCTGTGACCTTGGAGAACTGCCTCTAGTGAGAGTAGACAACAGGAGCTATTTAGAAAATAGTAAGAGCGGTATAAGACAGTTTCATCTGCTACTAAAACCGAATGGGAGGAGCGTTCGAAGTGCTGTGATTTCATGTATCATAATCAGTAGATCAAACAGGGGGTGGCATCATACTTAGAGTGTTGGGTTTGCTCTTAGGAAATCTCAGTCCTAGTACCCAGTGAGCTGTAAAACTCTCTGGAGGATTGTGGGTTAGGCATTCTAGCCTAGCCTTACCTTCCTTAGTTTTTGTGAAGATGAAATGGAGAGGAGGAACACCATGAATGGCGCCTCAAGATCACTGGAGGAAAGGAACGATAGAAATGTCAAAACAAAACCACAAGTCCTCTTTCTGTGTTGGAGTGTGAGCCCCAAACGGTGATTTTATGATCCCTTATAATGCACAAGGCCTGTTGGGCAGGCAGGAAAGAATTCCTCTGAACACTGAACGGCACTAAATTAAAGAGCATTTAGACTATTGTGACTATATTAGATTTTCTCAGCCTTGTGCCCTGCAGATATATTGGACCAAAACTCCATCATTCCTGGTCAGTGTTACCAATAGGCATTCTGGCTGGCAATGATGGGGATTTGTGTGCTTCCTAGCTAAGCAGAAATGCAAGATGCCGGACAGGGAGGGCTAGCCAATCTGTTCTGGAACTCCCAGTTTGAAAACTGCCATATTCAGAAAAAAAAAAGAGCACAGTCTTAGTAGTGGAAGTACTGTACTTCAGTTATTTGGTTTTGGTCACGAGGCTTGCATCATCACGAGGCTTGCAAAAGTTGCTTTTTTTTTGAGCTACAATTTCCAGGTTTCTCCCTTCCTCCTGCCAACAGCTCCAATGAGAAGCATTATGGTCCTCTTCCTCTACTCTTTAGTTTTAGAACAGCATTGTGGAATAGGCTCAGGCTGAGAAGCAGTGGCTGACTGAAAGGTATGCAATAGATTTCTTGCCCAGCTGGGACTACATTGGGTTGGGCATGTCGTGAGAATGGCTGATGGTTAGATTCCAAAAAATCTCCTATATGGAGAATTAGTGCAGGGAAATCGCCCCAGAGGGAGACCACAGCTGCGATACAAGGCGATCTGCAAGCGGGATTTGAAGGCTTTAGGAATGGATCTCAACAGATGGGAAACCTTGACGTCTGAGCGTTCAGCCTGGTGGCAGGCGGTGCATCATGGCCTCTCCCAATTTGAAGAGACCCTTGCCCAGCAGGCCGAGGCAAAGAGGCAGTCACGAAAGCAGCAAAACCAGGGAGCTGGACAGATTGGATTTGTCTTCAGTGTGGAAGGGATTGTCACTCTCATATTGGCCTTCTCAGCCACACTAGATGCTGTTCCAAGATGCTGTTCCATACAGAGCACGTTACCATAGTCTCTTGAGACTGAAGGATGCCTACTACTGGGACTAGTGTTAGGATCTCCCATGTCTCAGTCCAAGGCTCTTACCCACCACAGCTCACTGGTTCTTTATATATTGATTATTTGATTCTCATATCCTGTCCTTTAATTTACTAGAAATCCCAGAATGGGTTAGGAGTTAGAACATACAAAAATACAATAAAAATGTGTAAGATCATGCATTAAGATCAATGTCAGTGTTTGTCTTGCTTGTTCCTGCAGTGATTAAAAAATCAAAAAAGAATGCCAGGGCAAGTTCACTGGACTGTAAAGTGTCTCATCTGCTTATTCTGTCATCAGAAGGAAAACTTTATGAGCATCATATTGCATCTGGAAGAATTAAATCAAAGCCAAGGTAGGAACCTTTCCATCAAGCTATGGCTCAAAGGCAGCAGGGCAACAGCTGGCGTTGTGGAAGACAGTACACAAAATATATCTGATAGATGGCAAAATAAATTGCATAAGGCCGTGGTTCCCAACCTTGGGTAATCCAAGTGTTTTCGCCTGGGGTTTCTGGAAGTTGTAGTCCAAGAATGCTTTGGTTACCCACTAGTAACTGGGAACCACTGGTATAAGGGAATGTAATTGCTGGATAGCTCAGTCGTCTAAGTATCTGGCTGTGGAGCCAGAGGTTGGGAATTTGCTTCTCCACTCTGTCTCCTTGACACAGATACTGGATTCAAAGATCCATAAGGCCCCTTCCAACTCTGCAGTTCTAAGAAGATGATTATGATGATACAGTGGTGCCTCGCAAGACGGGCACTCCATTTAACGGCAAATCCGTATTATGATGAGGTTTTTGCGATCGCAAAAGCGATTGCAAAACGACGTTTTGAATGGGGGAATTTCGCTGCGCGATGATCGGTTCCCTGCTTCGGGAACCGATTTTCGCTTCCCGACGATCAAAACAGCTGATTGTCGGGGTTTCAAAATGGCCGCTGGGTGCTCAAAATGGCTCCCCGCTGTGTTTAGGAGCCATTTTTCGCTGCACAGGCACCCAAAAATGGCCGCCCCTATGGAGGATCTTCGCTGGACGGTAAGGTCTTAGCTGATTGGAATGCATTAACCAGGTTTTAATGCGTTTCAATGAGCTTTTTATTTTCGCTTTACGATGTTTGCGTTCTACAGCGATTTCGCTGGAACGAATTAATGTCGTAATGCGAGGCACCACTGTATAAAGGGTTGGAGTTTGCCATGGTGGCTGGCAGATTCCAGGAGCTGCAAGAAAGTAACTTTCCTAATTTCTGATGATGATGTCTGGCTTTCTGTATCCACCACCAAGCTCAATATCACCTTTCATTGTAGGGACGATCACCACCTACACAGGGTTGTTGTTCGGAGGATCTTTGGTTGGGTGGACAGTGTTGTTTTCTTATTGTGCATGTGTTTTAAATTGTGTGTTTCACCTTTTAAAATATTTTTATTGTACTTATTTGTCCAAAAGATGCATTTCACTCCTCTTTGCCGATTTCCACTTCGTTTTTGTGATTGTGTAAAAAAGTGAACCAAGCAGTAGACTAAAAGCCATCAGAAAGCACTTGTTCAAATCCTACAAATGTTAAAGTTTAACAGCCAACATTTCTTTATCTTTTTTTAAAAAACAACAACAACAGATTACTGAATCAATTAGGAAACAAGCAGATCGTTCAAATTGCATGTGGTGACTATCATTCCATGGCACTTTCAAAAGGTATTAAGCATCTTTCATATTGTTTGTTTGAATGTACATAAATTGCCCTTGTGTTTCAATTGAAATGCCTCAGATGGCTGACAGCAACATTTAAAAACAGTGGAATCATTAAATGCTTAAAGCCAGGAAGGAGAGCAGTTTAAAAAAAAAGTTAGTTATAAATGTGAAAGAGTCAGGAAGAATCAAACCAGGTCTTAGTTAAAGAGCTGCTGGAAATTTTTATATGAGAAAACATTAATATAAGTAGACCTATAAACTATGGCTGAAAGATTGCACAACCCCAGTAAGATTCTGTGAAATTTAAACATACCGCTTCAGGATCCGAATACTGTACAAAGTATATTAAACATGTGTCCTGTAGTTTGAATATCTCTTCTCAAAATTTGAACTGAGGAGTGCATGGCCTCCTTCTGGACTGAAACAGGTATGCAGGAGGAGGAGAAGTTAAAGCCCTCCTGGCTCATTTTTTATCTAGAGGTGGGGGGGCAGTTTGAAAAAGGGAGTATTTATTGGTGTGGTTATGGAAATAGAGTTATGCGTGGATATGTAAATATTTCTTTCACATGGATGGAGGGTGATTTTTTTAGAGTTAACATTGGCTCAGGGGAGATTTAAACTACAGTGGTGCCTCACGAGACGATATTAATTCGTTCCGCAAAAATCGCTGTTTTGCGAAAACATCGTCTTGCGAAATGCAGTTCCCCATTGGAATGCATTGAAATCTATTTAATGTGTTCCAATGGGGGAAAATCGTCGTTGTTTTGCAAAAATCACCCATAGGAAAACCGTTTTGCGAAGTGCAGATCAGCTGTCAAAATCGCTGTCTTGTGAAAATCGGTTCCAAAAACACTCGTTTTGCAAGTTGCGGACCTAGCTGTCAAAATCGTTGTCTTGCGAAAAATGGTCCCAGAAAAAAAAAAGTCTTGCGAAGCACGGACCGAAACATCGTCCAGCGAAAATCGCCCATAGGGAAAACCGTTTTCCGAAGTGCTATAGTGATCGCAAAAACTCATCGTCTTGCGAATAAACCGTTTTGCAAGGTAATTGTCTAGCGAGGTACCACTGTATCTCTTTTCCTATGTACTAGGCAGGCCATGAGCTTATCTTAGAGGGATTTTTGCCTGCAAGTTAAGTTTTTAATGTCACATGGAGTCTGACTCCTATCTCTCACTTAACAGCTTCCTTACAACTTCATTGTGAGAACAAGATAGGCTGTCCATCTGTTGATTTTGCAATCATGTATACTTACCTACAATGTCTGTGTGCCTTCTTTTGAGACTAGAGCTGAAGTGTATACATTTAAAAAAAAGAATATATGCTTTTTGTGCTTCCCCCTTTTCTCTCATGCTGCCTTAAGGAGGAGAACTTTTTGCCTGGGGTCAAAATGAATATGGCCAGCTCGGAATGGGAAGAAAGAGCAGCCCTGTAAAGGATCCACAGCTGATCAGGGAGCTTCAGTGCATTCCTTTGGCCAAGATTGCAGCTGGATCTGCTCATAGCTTGGCCCTCTCTTTGTCTGGAGCTGTCTATTCTTGGGGAAATAACAGTTCTGGACAGCTGGGCCTTGGAGACACCAAAGGTGAGACCAGCAGTGTAAGTACACTGTAATGTGTATCTGAGAAATGTTTGCAGAATACTTGTTGTCATTAATAATGTTAAACTATGTGAAGAAGGTAATCTTCTGAATATACTGGAACAAAACACACATTCACCCCCCCTTAATCTGGCTAAAAATGATGGGAGTTGTAGCCAGATCACCCCAAGGGCTTCCAGATGAGAAAGGCTAATGTATCCCAATACAGTAGTGCCTCGCTTAACGATGTTAATTTGTTTCGGCGAAATTACTGTAGAGCGGAAACATCTTAAAGCGAAAATAAAAAACCCATTGAAACGCATTAAAACCCGGTTAAGGCGTTCCAGTGGGCTAAAAACTCACCGTCCAGTGAAGATCCTCCATACGGCGGCCATTTTCGGTGCCTGTCTAGCGAGGAATCGGTCCTAGAAAACAGCAGGGGAGCATTTTCTTCAGCCAGCGGCCATGTTGGAACCTGACAATCAGTTGTTCACTGATCGTTGTAATGCGAAAAATCGGTTCCCAAAGCAGGGAACCGATCATCGCACAGCGGATTTTGCCCATAGTAAGCATTGTTTTGCGATCGCTTTTGCAGTCGCAAAAAGGCATCATTAAGCGGATTTGTCGTTATACGGGGCAATTGTAAAGCGAGGCATGACTGTACTGTCTTCTGACATGTCTTCTTCATGGTCTTTGGGCTTTTCTCATCTTGCTATCTCAAGCCCTGGAAATGACCAAAATTAAACATGACCCTTTTATGTATTTAACACTTACGCTGTCCTGGAGGAATGTAGGAGTTCTGTTCCCCACCTCCGTCAAAAAAAGGAAATTCCTGCCATCCAATCAATGCCTCAATGGAGAATGACTTGTAGTTAGCGTCCTCACTGAGCAACACCTCTGATATGCCGGAAAAGAGCAGGTTGGATTGCTCAGTGATTGATGTACCTGTCTACAGAGCCAGAGGTTGGGAGTTCAGGTCCTCATTGTGCTTCCTGGGCAAAAGGCCATCCTGTGTAGCTTTGGGAAAGCTGCACAGCCTCAGAGTAGCCACAGAAGAAGGAAATGGTAAACCACTTCTGAATACGCCTAGAAAACCCTGGGAGAGTTACCATAAGTCACAACAAACATTACAATGAGCAATTTTTAAAATTATTATTATTATTAAGACATATATATATATAGACAAATGTGTGAAAGGTACAACTATAGATTCTAAGGTAGTTTTGCCACACGAGGGAGCACTCTGACCATTTAGTCACAAAACAAGTTGGAAGAGTAATGCCAAGCATCTTTCACTGTTCCTCTGGGTTGTTAAAAATCTCCCTAGTGTTCAAATATGGCCTGGGTTGCTAAATACAGAAAACAGAGTACTTCAGAAAAACACACTCCTAGGTTGATTGCAGTGATGAGTTATTTTTCAGGAGGCTTTCCTTTAGGTTTCCTTTGACAAGCCCTCAACGTGGTTTCATTTCACCTTTTGTTCATCTTTCAGACAGATACTGCCCTATACATGTGAAGGCCCTAGAGCATATGAAGACTGTGGCCATTTCTTGTGGTGGAGAGCATACTGCAGTGCTCTTAAAGGTTTGCCTCGTGATCCCTCTAAACCAGTTTAATAATTGGAGCATTTCTTGCACAAATAGCAAATGTTGGAGCATGATATTTAAGACCATGGGAAAATGCCCTTGTATTCTTTCCTCTCCCTTATTGTCCTGTTTTTGTTTTTAATTGTTACATATCTGAAATTAGCACTAGATCATCCTGTCGCCTTGTTTACTCAGTCATTGTTATTATTAATGCTCATAATTATGCCCCTGTCAGTTTCCCGTCAAATTGGCGAAAGTAGGACCAGATGAAGGGAAAAAAGAAGGTGGGGCATGGGTTGGAATGTGAATTGCATCATATCCAGTGTAAATGGTGAACTCTTGAATCAATTTGCAACCGATGTGTGAGCACTGACTGCAATTTCAAATGTAACACAGGCTGTGAATCAAATAACAGCAAAGCTGAATTGCTCCAATTCGGCTTTCCAGTGTAGTTGCCCCTTCACTGACTCCATCTAGTTACAATCTAAAATAGATGTCCGGTGAAGCAAAGTTGTAAAGTAGAAAATGTGGGCAAGGGAAGACTCCATTACTTAAAGCTTGGTTATGGCTTGAAATGATTGAAGAGAAGAACTAAAAGTAGATTTTGAGGAGGTTTTCAAATGAGGGAAGAGACATAGCTCTATATTTTCATTGAGGGATCATGGCTAGGGCAGTGGTTCTTAACCTTGGGTTACTCAGGTGTTTTTGAACTGCAACTCCCAGAAACCCCAGCCAGCACAGCTGGTGGTGAAGGCTTCTGGGAGTTGCAGTCCAAAAACACCTCAGTAACCCAAGGTTAAGAACCACTGGGCTAGGGTGCAGGCTTGTGGAAACTCTCCGCGAATAGTCCCTTGTTGGCTCTTCTCTTGTATAACAGTATACAGAGATAAATGAGGGTTTCTTTAACCTGTCGTTGTAATGCGGCAAAATTCCAAGCCCCCTCCCCTGGTCAATTAACCCGCCATGTTTTTTTACTGACATATGTCATTGGTTTCGTCTTTCTCTATGAAGGGTGGACTGGTCAGTACTTTTGGAGCTGGCAGCCATGGGCAGCTTGGCCACAACTCTACCCGCAACGAACTGTTTCCACGAATGGTTGCAGAGCTGTTTGGCGCTCAAGTGTCTCAAGTAGCCTGTGGAAGGTAAGAAACACCAGGTTCTTCCAAACAGCTTATGTGTGGGGTCCAGGTGAACATCTTGATCAAGTGAAATCAGAAAAAATATTCCTGTCACCAAGGAGTACATCCATGTACAGTGGTGCCTCACTTAACGATTGCCCCGCATTATGACGAATCCGCTTCATGACAATGTTTTTGCAATCGCTTTTGCAGTCGCAAAACAATGGTCTAAATAGGGTTTTTTCGCTTTGCGATGATCAGTTCCCTGCTTCGGGAACCGATTCTTCGCAAAACGATGTTTTTTTAACAGCTGATCGGCAGTTTCAAAATGGCCACCGGGTAATTAAAATGGCTCCCCACTGTGTTTAGGCTTGCTATACAGGCACCGAAAATGACCACCGTATGGAGGATCTTTGCTGGACGGTGAGTTTTAGCCCATTGGAATGCATTGAACGGTTTTCAGTGCGCTTCAGTGGGCTTTTTATTTTCGCTTTACGATGTTTTCGCTTAACAGCGATTTTCCTGGAACGGATTATCGCCGTTAAGCGAGGCACCACTGTATATGATAGACTACAATAAGAAACAGAAGGATGAAGATAAGAGTCCTGCAAAAATCTGCCAAAATATTTCCCAAACCTTTCATAGTACATTTCGTAATAAATATTACATGCCACAGATTTGTATTGAAAAAGAAATGGGACACATTTTCACATCACTATGGAAACAATCTAAATGTTGACTTTAATTTATAAGGGCCTGATGGAGTCAATGGCACCTACAGATCTCATATGTTTTAATTTGTGAATAGGTGGCATACTCTTGTTTATGCCCCAGACCTTGGAAAAGTCTACTCATTTGGATCTGGAGCAGAAGGGCAACTTGGAAATGGAAAAAACAGTGACCGGCTGGTACCACTTCCTCTAGACTTAACCATGAACGGCCGAACAATTATATTGGGTAAATCGTGCTTATTGTTTTTATATGCAGAATTTTGTGTTTGGGTAGAAATCAAGAAAATCAGAAGTTTAGAAATAACTGTAAGTTACAAAAAAATGGGGGAGTTGAAACCTAGGCATCCTAGCTTGTCCAAATAGATTTAAGAAACAGGACCATAGTGGACTGGAGGCCAGCAATTAAATTTTAAGGGATAACACAGATCAAGTTCATGTCCGTAGTTGAAGGCAATACTCCTATCTTTTAGCAGAATGGTTAAAAATGCATAACTGTTTATTTGGTATCCCCGTTCATACATTGTAGTCTGGCACTGTGAGCTGACCCACTGCTGTATTTAGACTTGCTAGATTTCCTAATTAAAGTTTTATAAACAGTGTTTTACAACTAAGACTTTGCAAAGAATAAGGGGCAGACTAGCTTGTCCAAATACAGTGGTGCCTCGCTTAACGAGTGCCTCGCTCAACGATGAATTCGCATAACGATGGCCTTTGCTGGAAATTTTGCCGCCTCACCTAACGATGTTTCCTATGGGGGATTTTCGCATAACGATGTTTGGGACCTTGCTTCACTTAACGATGACAGTTTTAGGTCCCCTGTTTCGCTTAACGTTTTTTTTGGCAGCCCTGTTTTTGCTATTTTAAAAATATTCTAAAATGTTTAAAAATGTTTAAAAAATGTTTAAAATTCTTGGAATCGTTAGTGCACCTAATAAAACCTTCGTTAAAGTAATTTGGCTTTGTTCTGAGTCTTTTTGAAATTTTGGTGATTTTTTTTCACCATTGAAATGTATTGAATAGGCTCCTATTGGAACGGATTAACCGGTTTTCAGTGCATTCCTATGGGAAATGGTGTTTTGCTTAACGATGTTTTCACATAACAATGTTTTTAATGGAACCAATTAACAGGACAAAAGTGGACTGGGGGCCAGCTATTACATTTTAAGGGATAACACAGATCCAACAATAACCATATTTTTGTTCACATCCGTAATTATTATACTGTAGTTGAAGGCTATACTCCCATCTTTTGGCAGGATGGTTAAAAATGCATAACTGTTTACTTGGTATCCCCGTTCATACACTATAGTCTTCTGACGCTGTGAGCTGTCTCCCTGTTGTATTTAGACTTGCTAGATTTCCCAATTACAGTTTTATAAACTGTGTTTTATAACTAAGACTTTGCAAAGAATAAGGGGCAGCATTTTGAAATTTGATGTTATTTACTATCTATCACAGAAGGAAGATCCTCGAAGGAAGTGGTTGAAATCATTGCTGGAGAGAACCAAAGCATTGTGCTTCTTCTAAAAGAAAAGGTAGGCAGGTTTGGGTTGTTCTGAGTGTTTGAGTTGTCTTGAGCTAGAAATATACGTATATACAATTCCAAATGTCTTGCAGCCTGTGTCTCAGTAACACACATTTTATCCTTCACATGAACCCTGTGGTTCTCCAGATTTTTCTGCAGTATGTTTTAAAGCCAGTTTGTCTTGTGAAATCCTAATGTCATAATGGCCATCTTATCTTGGTCCTATAACCCATAAGTAAGGAAGCGCATCCACTCCTGTCTTTTCTTGTGGCCTTGGTTCAATGACCATTTATCATCAGAAGAAACAGTTGCTGTAACCTTTGAAATAATTCTGTGGTTTTGTCTATTTTGTACAGAGTTCATATGCAAATGTATATCAAACTGTGGCCAAAGTGGAAGAGGAAAGGGTGGAAAAGTGGGTTTCCAATACAGATGCTGGTTGCTGGAAACATATGCTACAGTAAGTCCCTGCCCGATTTCTATAGCCATTGCAAGTAGCAATAGTTAAGATGTTAGCTCAAAGAATGTTCTTGTCTGCTCCTTCTCTTCCCCCCTTCCTATAATTATGAAAAACTGTGGAGAAATAGTTTCATTTCAAAATGGAGGTTCACAGGAAAGTTGAAATTACCCTGTTTTCCCAAAAATAAGACCTAACTTGAAAATAAGCCCTAGTATGATTTTTCACGATGCTCCTAATATAAACCCTCCCCCCCAAAAAAGACCCAATTAAGTGAAAACCCGCCTTCCACCCTTGTGCAGCAACCTGAAGATGTCGACATGACTGTATTTGAATAAATGTAAATTGTTGTACATGAAAAAAAAAATTAAAATCCCCTGAAAATAAGCCTTAATGCATTTTGGACCAAAAATTAATAAAATACCCTGTCTTATTTTCGGAGAAGAGAACCGTGGTACAGAATGCCTTTGACAGTTGGACCTCAGTTGTGAGAAATTCTGAAGGCAATGTCTGAAAGACCACTTTGTTCCTTTTCAACACAACAGGGAAATTAAACTGATCTTCTCGTCTGCAGCTTGCATCAATGGAAGCTTTCTGGATAAGAGGTAAATTATACTCGCTTAAGGCACTGTATGTTCTCTAATGGTCCAATTATACATGAAAGGAAAACTGTATCTCCCCATCTTACAATATTTTCACTCCAGGCATACAAATCTGTGAAACCTACAAGATCTGAGAAATGAAGGCATGGAAATGAATCCATGTTTATCTTTCAATTGATTAGTTACAAGGCAAAAGAAAGCTAATTTATCAAATATGGTGGGGAAGATTGCAATAGAATCCACAGTCTTTTTGTTGTAAGAGACCTCTGCTTCTAATGATATGTTAACTGCATCATCCAAAAAGCAGAGATGTCAAATGAAGAATAACTCTGATAGGAGGTTATATCTAAAAGCAATGAGGGGCATACAAGAGGGCTCCATGGATTTCTGTGTTTACTTATATGATCATCATCATGTGTGCTTCACACATGAGCAGGATCGAAAGAGTTCAAAATGTGTATATTTTCATAAGCAATTGAAGGGGTTGTGATTGCAGTTAACCCCCATCTTTCCTTAGAGAGAAATATTTCAGCAGCTCTTGGAAGACTGCAGGTGTGGATCCGTCAGCTGTGTTTCTTTTCTGTGAGAAGATTGCAGTTAAACCTAAAGTCTTCACACAAGTAAGACATGACACTGAACTTTCATATGAAATGTGAAGTAGCATTGAATGATTTCCTGGTGTTAGTCCTAAGACAACTAGTTCAAAAAACGTTAAGTAAGAGCAGACCTCTTTCTTTGAAAGGCACTTAGAAGGAAGTCTTCTACAAGAAAGGTTCCTAATACTGTACTGGGATGCAGGATCATATCAGGTTTATTCTAGGCCATTGGTTCTGTTTTCTTTTCCCTGAGTACTACCTGAAAATTGAAGGGGACCTTGGTGGACTACTTTATACACTTTCATTTGTAAATGAAAACACATCAATACTGTATCTTGCATTTTCACTGAAAAATACTGCACTGGTCTAATTGTGAAAACTGATGTCGTGCTATGAGAAATAAAATCCCCTTCACTTTGAAGGGCTTCTTTATATATATTTTAGGAGAAAACCTCTAGATCTATCCAGTAATGTAGTATGAAAGCTGTCACTCAAGTACCTTTTATAATCTTCCCAACTGGCCTTGAGATTTGTCATCAGAAAAAAAAACCAAGTGCAGGATCAAGCACCCTTGGCATTGGGGTTTTAGAAGTGGGGAATCTCCATTGCTAGTGAGCTCCTATTCATTTAAAGAGTGGAGGAAGGTTCAAACCTCCCATACTGCTGATTCCAATCCAGACGAGGGCCATACATGCTCCTTTTAGAGTAAAAGAAAGGGACTTCAGCTGCTTGCCATGCTTACCATGGCACTTACTTTAACACAACATGCTGTCAGTACTGATGGATGGTTCTGCAATCTGGACTATGGAGATGGTGATCTCCTATCAGGTCCAGCTGAAAAAGAGGGACATACCATGTCTTTTATCTTCTTAGACTGAGCCTGCTGTTTTATAATAAGCACTTGTGTCTATAACAAGCTCTGTTAAACTGTTTCCCCTTCTTTTCCCCCTCAAGGTGATCAAGGGTCTTAACAAGCTTCTGAGGTCTCTCCCTACATTTCCTGCTTCTCCAGAAGCACTCAGAGTCTTCTTGGTGGTGCCCATCCTCTTACGGAAGGAAGACATTGAGTCCGATTGTCTCCTTAGCCAACTAGCTGAAGCCATCTGTCTTCTCCCACAGCAAGCCAAGCAAATTCTTGGTAAGGCAGGTTCAGTGGGAGGGGTAGTTGAATAACTTCACGTGCACATTTAAAACACACACACAAACAAATGTGGTTATTGAAATAGCCTTTAAATAATCTGAAGGGGGGAATCATCTGCCTCCTCAAAGGCTTTGAACAGCCTGTTTTTATTATACTTATTTACCGTATTTTTCAGTGTGTAAGACGCCCCCATGTATAAGACACCCTCTACTTTTCTAACCCAAAAGTAAGAAATCTAAGTGTGACTTAGTAAGTTTAGGGGGAAAGGGATCAAAGCCCTGCAGGATCACTTTGATCCTTGCTTTCCCTTCCACTTGTTTTTGTTCTCTCCTCAGCTTACTTCCGTGTATAAGATGACCCTCAATTTTTATTCTAAAGATTTTAGACAAAAGTATAGTCTTATACACAGAAAAATGCGGTATTTAAAATTATTTTTAGGTTTCTGAAAGAGTGGAGTGCCCCTGTGGCAATCTACAAGACAAAGAAATAACACACAGCCATAACAATGTAGTCAAAATGACAGCAGTTGCAAATCATGTATCTTATTATAGGTTTAATTTAAGTTGGGGGTTTGTCTGCTTTTTGATTAATGTTTTGGTTCTTGTTTATTACTGAATCTTGGTTTGTGTTGTGGATGCTTTTACTGTAAGCCACCCAGAGTAGTGGCCGGGCCACTAGATAGGCAGGGTGAAAAATGAGTACAATACAATAAAATAAATACCCCAAATTAAGAAAAAAGCAACAAAATCAGCTAAGTCTTCCGAGCTTTCCGGAAGATTTATTCTCAAAGGCTTTCACGGCCAGGATCTGATGGTTGTTGTGGGTTTTTCAGGCTCTTTGGCCATGTTCCGAAGGTTATTCTTCCTGATGTTTTGCCAGTCTCTGTGGCCGGCATGGACAGAGTTCCTACTCCTTTTCTCTGAAAGTGACAGCCACAGAGACTGGCGAAACGTCAGGAAGGACAACCTTCAGAACACAGCCAAAGAGCCCAAAAAACCCACAACAACCATCTTTCCTGAAGACCCGCAGAAATGGAGCACTATGGGAGCTGATTCCAGAGAAGGTTCTCTCCTTTTATCAGCATTGTAACTGTTAACTTGTATATGAGCCAGTGTGGTATAGCGGTAAGGGCATATAACAATTTGCTTTCTTTATAGAATGCTTGTGGTCAAATCTAGAAGTCACATTTTTCAAGGATCTAGTGGCCTTGTACCAGAAGCTTGTCTGTGTCAAGTTGTCTGCATTTATTAACCTCCAGAGATGTTCAGAACACAATATATCAACAGGGGAATTAATTCCGTCCATTCAAGTTCTGCAGATGCTTTATGAGGTAAGGGGAACCCTTGAACTGAAGATACCAGCAGTTGAAAAAAAGATATATGATGCTGTCTAAACAAAGGAATGATGAGATGGTTGCTAGGCACCTTCTCCACAGTTGCTTTTCTTTCTCAGTAGTGGGTTCAATGATCCCTAAAAAAATGTCTTAATGCTCAATAATGATGGATCTCTGCCCCTAGTCTTCCAGATGTTTTAGGCATTAATTGCAGAAACTCAAGCCAGAATTGTCAGTGGTCAGGGATTGTGGGAGTTAAAAACTAAGCGAAGGACAAAGATCGGAAATCACTGCTTGGTAATGGATGTGGGCAGCCTGCAATCCTAGGTCTGCAGAACCTTCAAAATAGCCTCCATTAAAGCCCCTGCAAGAGTTATTTGGCCCACCTCTAGCACCTTGTTCAGAGTGCAACCAAATGGTCAAATACCACAGGATTTGGTCCACTTATAAAGTTTTAAAGTATTTTTTTAGTTGACTGCATTAAACAAAGGCTGCTTTGAATGGGTAGGTGGTGTTTCAGTGATGTAAGCGGTTAGGGTATGATGTTCAGGCCCAGGGAGACATGCAAAAGCAAAGCACCATGCTTTCAATGTGGGAGTCGGGTGCTAGTCCTATATCCCGTCAAACACAGTAAGCTTCAGAATGTGTGGGAAGGCACTTTTGTTGTGAAGCAAAAACTTAGTGCATTTCTGCTAATTCCTGGTGTAGTTGCACCCTCAGTAGAATGTTAGGGAGAGAGAAGGTTAACAGAAAGGGAGAAAATGGGATGATCCAGTTCTCTGGGCATGTTATGAGAATGGCTGATGGTCGGATTCCAAAAGATCTCCTGTATGGAGAATTAGTGCAGGGAAAGTTGTTCAGAGCACAATACCACAGTGTCTTGAGACTGAACGATGCCTAATCTAATCCTTGGAAAGTTACTTTTTTGAACTACAACTCAAAGAGGTCCCCAGCCACCATGGCTGGTCTAAAAAAGTAAATTTTCCAAGCTCTTTTCTGATTGCTGAGACATTTAAAAAAATACCCCTGTTCTTTAATGTACCATTCCAGTTGTTAATTTGTTGACCATACGTAGTATGAAGCAAAGCATGAATTGTCAATGCTAACTTCACATTTACCCTTCTCTCCACCCCAGAATTGGCTAGCTGTTTTGCACTAATATCAGTACTGCTGATTTTTTTAAAATCCAGGTGTTAAATCTCTTCTCCCCACCTCATGTGCCTGGTTGCCTTTTGTTTTAATTTCCCCTTTATAAACACAGGTAAATCGCAAGGCTGGTTTTAGAATCCAGGAAAATAATTTTTATATCCCTGATGTGAAAAGAATACTGACTCTTCCAAGTATGAGCCACATAAGAAATGTAGAAGAAGTAAGTAGTACAACCTTACTTGTTTATACAATCCTAGATCATTTTTCCTTCCTTGAGAAAGAGTTAAGTGCTTTCTATCCTTTGTACACTGATTCTACACACCTACACACCTCGGCAAACACAGGTATGGGAACCAACAACTATAAAATCTTCTCCTCATATTCAGATTTGTTCTGTCCTTCCAAACATTTTGGTGAAACACTCTGAAATGCTAAACATTCTTTAAAATCTCATCCTCCCAGCATAAATAAATGTAAACATATAAACAAATATGGTAGCGATGATATAGCACAGATAGGCATAGAATACTCATAACAATTTAGCTATCTAGAAGGAAAGGTACTAGAAGGTTAGCAATTGGTCCAGCAAAGGGGATAATGTGAATATACTTGCTGACAAAATATTTTGTAAAAATTATTTTCTTTATTTTATTTTATCCAACTTGTGAGCAGGTGATAAGAAGAATATTGCCACGGATAAATGAACTGCAGGTAAAGACTATGTTCCTCATGTTTTTATCACACCCAAGATTTAATTGCAACTTCCAACTTCACGATTCTATGATTCTATGCCGTTTGGTTTTTTCCTCAATGTTTGTTTCAACATAACAAGATTTTCTTCAGTTTAATTTTTTTGTGACCTGCCTTCTTTTCATAGAAACATCTGATGTATTATTTTCTTATCTCTAAGTGGGGACTACTGTTGCTTATAAATAGCAGCTTAAATATGACAAGAAAGCCTTGTCAGAATTGAATTGCTTGTATTGTGTGAATTGGAGAGAAAACATTACTTTGGTTTCCTTCTGGAAAACACATTGCAGGATCAGGTGTGTTCCCTCAAAAGCCAGGCCTAGGGAGGAGGGGTAGTTTCCCCTTGATATTTAGTCCAGTCATGTCCGACTCTAGGGGGCGCTGCTCATCCCTGTTTCCAAGCCATAGAGCCAGCGTTTGTCCGTAGATAGACAGTTTCCGTGCTCACGTGGCCAGTGCAACTAGACACGGAATGCTGTTACCTTCCCATCGAGGTGGTACCTATTTATCTACTCGCATTTGCATGCTTTCGAACTGCTAGGTTGGCAGGAGCTGGGACAAGCGACAAGAGCTCACTCCGTCACGTGGATTCAATCTTACAACTGCAGGTCTTCTGATCTTGCAGCACAGAGGCTTAGGGCTAGGGCTAGGGTTCGGGTCGCCACGTCCCTATGGAGGAGGGGTAGTGAATTCTGGGAAGAATTGCAATTCTCTACAGAGGAGGGGTAGAGAAATGCAATTTTCTTCCCGGAATTGGCACTATACATTATCCACTCATGTAGACGGCACAATTGGAGACTCAGGCTTTCGAAAGTTAGCAAGACTAAGAGATAAAACTGCACCATCAGTGGCCATAATAAAAGATGGCCAAAGAACAAAAACTCTTCAGTTAGGGAGATACCATGGAAATGGGACCTCAGTCAGAACCACACTGTAGCTAGACCTCCTTGTAAGCTAAACTTGGCCGCATGCCTGGTCTGCATGCCTGGCCCTTCACATTAACAAAGCTTTGGGTCATTTCACCTCTCCCAGTGCCCTAGTGATGCTCTAGAAAGGAAGCAAGGTGGCTGCTGGGATTATGCTGAGAGATAGGAGTTTATTTGATGTGGACATTAACATCCAGAAAGGGTGTATCAGTGTGCTCATGTTTGAAGTAGCTGGTCTGGATTTCTTTACTTGGAGTGGTGGTTATAATTTCAACAGTAACGTTTTGCTCCAAAAGCATGTATTTTCTCTGTGGGGAAGGTAACTGGATTACATTATAGGGACTGTTGCAAGCTACTTTCTGTCTCCCTCAACAAAGCCTTCAACCTACACTAGTAAATTGTGGGGGGTGTGTGTGTGTGTTAAAGCATTAAAACTAGCAAAGAAAGTGCAGAGAAACACTTTTTTCTGTTGCTGATGGACACACTTGTACCTAAAATAGCAGCTCACTGCATTAAGTTCCATGTCTAATCTTCCATCTCCGCTGACACTTAAAATTGTGTAGACAGGGAAATGAACTAATCAGACATTGGTTTTGTATATGTACATCTCAGGGCTTCCCTTGTCTTTTTTCCCTCGGGACAAGTATTATATTTTTGGTAACAGTAGCGCAAGAAACCTCAAGTCCAGTGGGAGTCGAAAGCACAAATTTTCAGCATGGAGTGCTTTTCTGTTTCAAGCCATGGATTTTTTTTTTCAAAAAGCTACATTGCATCTCTTCCGAAAGCAGATTCTCATGCCTCTTGAACATACCCAATCCTGACTGAACTATTTTGCACTTCCACTATCAACATCCCTCCCAAAGATCTGCAAACCCTAAGGGCTCCCCAAACCTTATACTGTAATTTCTCTTGTGTGGGGGGGTGGTGATGCTTTGGCTACCATGTGATATACTTCAAGATAGTGAGAGATATGGAGGAAAGCAATGCTCGTTTCTCAACACTGATTTTGGAAGCAACTAGTCTTGTTTTGTGGGCTTTTGTTAATCTGTGTTGTTTTGTTTTCTCATTCCAGCTGGCATTGAATACACTCATCCTCTTCCCTTGCATGTTTGACTTGGAAGATAAGATAGCTATGCATAAACTGTCCTGCACATTTCTGAACACCATGGTAAGTGTAACAGGAAAAAGTTACATAAAATTTGACTGCAAAATATATTAAACAGACTTGTAACCCAACATCCCTGTCCTTATAGAACCTTGGTGCACCTGGAGAACTACATGTAAGAAGACAACATCTGGTGCAGGATACCTGGCAGGGTATAAGAAGTGCTACAATTTGTTTTCAACGTTTCCTTAGAGTAAGAATTTTTTTATACCTCTAATCACTAGAGCACAGAACATTAGAATGAAACATTTTTAATTAGGCAGCACATCTGCATGTCAGATTTTAAAGCAGTGAAACAAATACTCAACTCAGAGGTAGCAAAGTTCACAGTTCATTGTAGAGCTTGGAAGAGTTGCTCAATTAGATTACATGAGGAAAGACTGAAAGAACTGGGTATGTTTAGCCTTGAAAAAAAAGAAGGCTGGGAAGAGATATGATAGCACTTTTCAAATACTTGAAAGCTAGTCATACAGGGGATGGGCAGGATCTGTTCTTGAACATCCCAGAATGCAGGACCCATAATAGTGAACTCAAGCTAAAGGAAGCCAGATTTATCCTCATGATCAGGAAAAATGTCTTAACTGCTAGAGCAGTATGACAATGGAACCAAGTACTTCCGGAGTTGGTGAGTGCTTCAACGCTGGAAGCATTCAAGAAAAAAGACGACTGTCTTTCCAATCTGCTTTGATTTGGATTCCTGCATTAAGCAAGGAGTTGGACTCAGTGGCCTTATAGGCCCCTTCCAACTCAATTATTCTGTGATTCTACACCACTGGAATCACTCATGCATCATATTCAGTGGTAATACAAGCTGTCTAGAATTCTGGAGTTAAATTCCAGGACTTTAACTCCAGTAATTTTTCTGAGCTCTGTGCCAGCTATTACAACTTCAGGGCCCCTTCCCAGAGCAATTCTGTTCGAGATTATAGCCATATATTGTTAGGAGCATTTCACAAGGAAAAAATACCCAATTGTCTTTGAGCCATCTTTGTGGTTGTGCTTAACCTTACTAATAACAGTAACATTAATAATATTCTAAAACTTTGTGTAAGAAAAAGTTATATAATCTGATTAATATATGTCCTGTTAGTTTCTACTAAAATCAAATGCAGCTAACTTTGGTTTGGTTAGGAGCCAAAATGTTAGAGGAAATCTTTGAAAAGTTCAGCCTTCTCCAAACTAGTGTGCACGCACGCACCATGGGGAAGACTACATATGTCTGTTCTGCCTGTGAATCAGAGGAGATGCTGTCTGCAGTATTGGAGAGCATCAGTATGAGGAAAGCTGGAGCAGTCACAAATCAGGATGTCTTAATGGTGAGCTCCTCCTCCAGGTCTAGTACAAATGTATTTGCTCGCTTAGGGTACTGGTACATCTGTGCCAAACTTGACTGCCCCCAAAAGCATGGTTTTGTCATAATATTTAAGTCTGCTGTTAGCTTATTGGCAGCAATAATTCATAATTATCTTAGGAAGTACGAAATGTAAAGGCTGGCCGAAAGAAAGAAATAAGAAAAATGACTGGTGGACTTCCCCCCCCCCCATCATCTGTAGAAAACTTTTCAAAAGGCATGAGAAGAATATGTGCCCTGCAAGTATTCACATTTCATTCTTATCTGCAAACAAAAGGCAACATATGCATGCTCCTAAATGAATTTCAGAATTTGGAGCAATGCACAATGCCTGTACATATATACTGGAACTCAAGGCTAATTCCACTGAACAGAGCAGTGGATTTTGGCCAAGAGATACAAGGAAATGTTGTGATCCTGCTATCAAATGTGAAAATCATCAAGCAGTTTGAGCAGTCCAATGGGGCTATTCTATATACAGTACAGCACAACTTCTTTAAACAAATGCGAAGAGGTGCAGAATCTGAGTGCAACATTAAGTAAATATATTTTTGGTTTTGCAGGTGATTTATGAAAAACAAAAAACACTGTTCAAAGATGTTTTATTCTATTAATGACATGGCACAATATGTCAGCCTCAATCTTTGTGCCCTATAGTGTGCAAACATGACAACAGCACAGCTTAATTACAGCAAAATCCTGTGTGGTATTAGTTGCCACCATTTCTAACATTAAACAGTCACTTGAGAACATGTTTAGTATGCCTAGGGAAATGTTAGACATTATGAAATTCCTACATGAAAGGCCTTTCCATCAAAGAACTGTGTTACAGATAAGACAATAAATAACTGTCTTTTAGAGGACTGATAAAATGTGAAGCTCTCTCTCGGGATACCTCCCTATAGGGCTTTTTTTCCAGGGACAAGAAAGATTGCATGAATGCATCTGTCCTTTCTAGTCCCCCCAAAGCTGACTTTTCAGCTGACCCTCGTGTGCACAGCAAATGGTTATAGAAATCAAGAGAGGTCTATGCAGACTGCCTTGTCTAGCTTGACCTACAGTATACTGTTAACAGAAGACTTGTGTGCATCACCTCACAGCTGCTTCTTTGGCCATGGATCTAGTTTAGTGCCAGAAGTTCTGTATTGGGTTGCCATAGAAGCATCTGTACCGAAATCTCCTTAAAATCTCAGAAGTCCTCTATATGCTTTGATGCACATGTATTTAAATATACTTAATATACTGTTCCTCGTTGCTTCAGATTTAAGAGATTAAAAGAAGCATCACTACATTCTTTAGTGTGCACTCCCTGAGAGGCAGATGCATTTCAGCATGAGCTAATTGTGACGAAAGAGTTTCAGGCCCATCCAGGTCCAAAGGTGAAAAAAGACATAAACAGGAATCGTAATTGGAAGCAGCAGGCTGTAGAAACACAGGCTTGTTGTACTTGTGCAGCCCTGGGGAAAGTTCTCATCCACACTGGCTGAATAAAACAGGCCAGCTAAAGACAACAACGGAACAAGTACAGTCATCGTAGGGAGTGACAGGAACATTTTTCTCCACCTCTGCTGGTCTAAGCTTCTTCTTTAATAGGAAACTCATCTAGGTCTGTTCAGGTTCCTTCTCTTGCTTCTCCTTGGCAATCATCCTAGCAGACTGGGGAATCATATTAGGCATGCCGTCAGTGATGGGATAGGCAATGCCCAGCTCTTCGTTAATCAATTCATTTGTTGATTCTTCATACCTAGCAAACATAGCAAATATGACATATCTTGAATTTACTGCTGTCACTGGTTTAAGTCTATGACTTAAGAGCATATCCCTTTGATATATAACAGGAAGAAGTAGTAAGCAAATTTGTCTTCTTGATGCTGTCATTTAGACCTATCATGTCTGCACTTTCAGATTTTCTCTTACAACTATCCATATTCTTTACTAGAGAATTCCCGTAACATCATCCAGATACTGAGATTGTGGGGGTGTATTCAGGTGTACAATTTTGGATTTAAAAAAACTGTATGAACAGTCTGTTGTTTGTCACCATTCCCGTGTGCAATGGAGTGTTCTAGAACAGCCCTTGTTAATGGAGGATGGCATATGCCCCCCTGGGGCCCCTCACACATCTGAAGGGGGGCATTGACTGGGAACAATTCTTCACACACTACCTTATAAGGTTTGTTATGTGGCTTACACAATCCTGATTCAACCTATATTTCTTTCATATTGTGTTTTATGGGTGTGGCCCAAAAAAGGGAGGGTGTCGAGAATGGCTGTTCTAGAATATTCACATCATCTTATGGTTGCACTCTTCAAGAATGTTTACCCTATCATCAAAAAACTCCTGACAAGCTTCTGAGAAACTCCAGATTCCAACCTGTACTCTTAATCTGACCAAGACAATACAGGAGTGCAAAACTGCTTATTATCTGGCATTACTATAATTTCTGCAAGAAACATTAAGACAAATGTTTCACTTCAGAACTTAAAAAAAAGTGAGAGAAGCTTGAAAATAACTGGATGATTATTGTGAAGAATTGTATTGTTTTTTGAGACTTAAGAAGTATTAGTAACCAGCAATCCTCAAAATGTGCTAGCATCAAACCAAACTGATGATTACTGATCAGTGTGAAGAATTTTATTGTTTTTTAAGACTTAAGAAGTATTAGTAACCAGCAGTCCTCAAAATGTGCTAGCATCAAACCAAACTCTAATTGTGGGCATTGAGAATTCTCCTTTTTATATGTCAACTCACACACCCCCTTGGATTAACCCCTCTTTTTCTCAGATTGCAGGCCCTGACAGACAGACAGACAGACAGACAGATAGATAGATAGGGGAAAAATTGGAAGGAGCTGCCTGAAGAACCAGCCTGCCTAGCCTTGGGAAAGCTGCACAGCTCCAGGATACCCCCCAGAAAAAGTGGAAGGTCACCTCCCAGTACTCTGCCTAGGGAACTCTGGAAGGGCCCAATGTCAGAATTGACTGGACAGCACATATTTATTTCGTACACTTTTATACTGCTCGATTAGTGCAAAGCACTATTATTAAAAGATACAAGAAAAAAATAATATCAGCGATGGGGGTAGTGGGTGCCAAGGAGCTAGGCGATTCTACCAGTTGTCCCAAAGTAACTTTTCCCAACTCTAGCCAGACTTCAGCCCTTCCTGCCTCCCAACCCCCGCCCGGCTTTGAAAGGAAAGGTGAGGTCTGGGTGCAAAAGCTGCCAAGAGGAAGGGCCAGCTGCCAGGCGGGTTTAAAAGTAAAATAGGGTGGAGGACGAGGAGCCGGGCTGGCGGGCGAGCTCCTGGGCTGACCTGAGAGGCTTCTTGGACAAAGGACACACGAGAATGTCCAGGAGGCTGAGGTCGAAGGGAGGCCGGCGGTCCGGCGGCGGGCGCTGCCCTTGGCCGGCGGGCCTGCCTTCGTCCTCCGCCGGGGCTGCGCAGAAGGCCCGCTGGAACCCCGCTCCTTCTGAGGCCGCCGCCGCCGCTCGCGGTCTCCCCGGCCACGCGAGGCGAGTCAGGAGCCGGAGCCCTGCGGGCAGAGCCAGCATGATCCGCCGCGGCCTCACCGGCTCTGAGGCAACCTTCGCTCCGCTCCCGAAGTCAGCCCGGAAGGGCAGCCGGCTGCGCAGGATCGTTTCCTGCCGTCGAGCGTCCCTTTGAAAACATTCCCCCGGGGAGGCTGAGGGCTGAGCTTTCGGTTCCTAGCTGGAAGCCGCATTTAAAATGGGATGTGTGGTTGCTGGGCTTCCGCGGGGACGGCGGGGTGACTTCAGAGAAAAGAAGCCCACTAGGCAATAATCTGTATATGGACTGAATTGCACTCTGCCAGCTTTGAATAAAAACCCACAGGCTGGGTTCACACTTCGGAGCACAGCTTGGGAAAGTTGCTGGTTTGGGACTACAACTCCCATTATCCCCTAGCCAGCACAGCTAATAGCTATGCTGGGTAGGAATTCTCAGAGCTGTTTTCTTGTCTTTGAATACGAGCCCTGGTAATTTCAGTAAAAATTGCTGCCAGGTAAACCTGTAGAGTTGCATTCCTTTTTTGTTGTTTTTTTAAAAAAACAAGCCCCACAGAATAACAGAAGCTTGTTTCTGAGTAAATGTGTCTGGAATCACAAGACAGCAGATCAGATATGTACTTATTCCTTGAAGGCATAGCCTGCTGAGACCATCTTAGCTTTTCTTAGTGCTAAGCTTAGTATTGTACGCAGGGTGGATAAAAAGCAATGGCTTTAAAAAAAATCAAATTGGTTTAAATCTCAATTCAAATTAGCAAGTGGTTTAAATCATAGTTAAAACTGATTTGAATCAACCTTGATTGCAGCTTTAGTTTAAGGAGTCAGATTTATTTAAAAGCATTGGGCTTACTTTAAGTCAGGATGTGTCATAATGGGCAATATGATGTCCACAGAATTACAGTACAAATGTAATCTGGATACAGTAATTTTCAAGAATACAGTAATCTGGATATTTTTACTGCGTTTTTCAGGTGCATTTTGAAGGAGAACCTGGGATTGATGATGGAGGCCTATCTCAGGAGTTCTTTAGTATCCTTGGAAGAGAATTGTGTGCTCCAGAAAAAAAGATATTCAGACATTTTGAAGAGTCACATTTGATTTGGTTTTCCTGCCAGGTATATACAAATTGGGTCTATTCCTATGTTGTGCTTATTTGCTCTATCTCAGTCTGCAGCTAGCTGGTGGGTGGGGGGAGGAAACATGGTGCTGTGCCAATGAATATCTATGAACTGGCCTGAATTGATTTGTGCTCATCTTTAGTGGCTTATGTTTAAACGAGCTGATATTAGTTGAGGGGGCTTAAAAACAGCATTGTTCATGTTACAAGTCTTTTTTTAAAATAGGTATCGTCACAGGATGATATATATTTCCTAATTGGAAACCTGTGTGGAATGGCATTCTACAATATGAAGACAGCAGATTTTCCTTTCCCTCTTGCTCTGTTCAAGAAGATGGCAAATGTTCCTCTGACTCTGGAAGACTTAAAAGAGCTCTCTCCTATAGAAGCAAGGTATGGCATATTATTTCCCATATCCAGGTACAGCAAAATAACAAGGTGTTATTTGTAATCTGTTTTGTGATCAGAATTATAAGGACTTACTGGTTTGTATTTTTGAGACTCTTTTGTTGTGGAGGTAGCAAGTAATTTGTGTACCTATATAATGGATCACAGCCCAAAGCTGTAATGTTACGAAGACTTGCTTGAAAGGACATTCCATTGAATTAGGTGGGTTTATACTGACACTAAATAGGATAAATAGAAGTAAATATGCATACAGTGCTTGTAAGAAAGTTGTGTTTAAAACTGTATTGTTATACACAAGCAAATTTCATAACACTAGGATAACATTGTATCCTATATTGTCTTTTTTTTCTCTGTCAGTAATCTTCAGGTCATTCTGGATGAACCTTATGAAGATATCATTGAAGAGATGATGTTGGATTTCACAGTAAGGAATACTGATGACTTTTTAATAGCCCCAAGATACACATTTGTGGCAAGAGACTTGGTTTTGTGGCTGAACTGTTTGTGTGTTGGGGTGTGTTTGTTTGTTTTAAAATCTATCCCATTTTCTCATTCCAATGCATACCTTCAAGGCAGTTTGCAACAAACATAAACTATGTCAGGATTTTGCTTGATATGCTTACATGGAAAACATCAAACATATAACAGTACTAAAGAGAAGCAAGTATCCAACACTGCATGATAAGAAGCTGTTGATATTCAAAGATCATATGAGATATTTTAAAACTGCAGAACTGGTGGCTCAGGGTCCTGGCCTGTTGCTCTTGAGCAGCCATTCTCAATGGGGGCCATATTGCCCCCTAGGAGCCATTGGCACATTTAAAACAGGCCATGGACTGGAAAACAGTTCTTGACACACCACTTTATAAGGTTCTTTATGCAACTTAGAATTTTGGCTTCTATTTTTTCATATTGTGTTTATGGCCAAAGCCAAAAAATAAAAGTTTGAGAATGGCTACCCTAGAGCACAGGAGGGCAACAGATGCTCCCCATTTAAATGATATTTTAGCAGTCTAAAGTTATTACCCAAGCTTGGTTCTCAGTTTTGCTCAGGGAGTAGGCAGTTGTGTTTTTTGTTTTAATAATGCTGGCGATGGTGGGTAGAGAATTTCTACAGATGGGTTGCTACTGCTGTTTCCAGTTGCTACCAATTTAACTTCTAAACGTGAATGTACAAAAGAGGAAAATTTAAGAAGACATGTTGAAGTAGCACGTTGATATCAGGGGAGATGCAATTTACATGCCCGTGCTGCATTCCAAATGTGAAAAGAATAGCATTTTCTAAAGCTCAATGGGTATTAAAATTTATTTTTATCTTTTTGTCTGTTTAGGTAATAGAAAAACATGAAGAAGCCTTAGCTGTGGTAGAGCTGAAAGAAAATGGTGCCAACATTCCTGTTACTAAGTATAACAGGCAAGTTTCCATAGTTTTTCCTTCTTTTTTATTTGCTTACTGTTTATTAACATATTACAAGTACACTTAGGGAAAAACCTGGAGTTGCCAGTGTGCAATATTTGGAAATGGCAAGGAGAAATGTTCAAATTCCAGCCCGTTGACCAATCAGAAGAGTTTAACACCCTTCCTTACAATACATTTTGTACATAAAGAGAACACATTATTTTATTTATGTGTTGTTTGCATTTACATCTCAGGATGGTATACATGACATTTTCCTCTACACTATATTCTCACAACAACCTTCTGAGGTATGTTAGGCTGAATGAGAATGACTGGGCCAAGGTTACCCAGTGAGATGCATGGCTCACTGAGGACTAGAAACTGCATCTCCTAAGTCTCAGTCCATCACTCTCACTATTACACAACATAAAATCAGTACAAAACATCTCTACAAAGTTTCTTGATGCTTTATGGGGAACAAAGCCTGATTTCAGCAAAGTTGGTGCTCATTCAGAAGTTTTGTGGAACAGCCTGATTGCAAATATGACACTGAAATCACTTTTCAGCTTGTGCTACTTTGTAATGCTGGTCTGGGCTTATGCTGGAATCCACAGACCTGTGCTACTTTGACACTGTGGTTGCCCCAGAGGGAATAAGAACCAAAGGCAAGACCACAGAATCAGCATAATAATTAAGCACATGCATTTGGAAAACCATATTGTGGGACGTGCCAGATGAAGAGCACTGTGATGCATGGAATAACCTTTGCCTTTGAGAGCAAGGTGCATGCATGCTCTTTTTGACTCACTGCCTCAACAGGAAATTGCCCATGGCTTCCGGGATGCCCGAGGGAAGCTTTTGCTGAGAGCTCAGAACTCATTGTTGGAATCATGGGGCAGAGATCAAGAAACGCCTTTAGCAAACATTTTCAAGTTTTTGGGTCACTACATTTGTATCCTTCTTTTCCTCCAATGAACTGAAGGTGGCGTACATCGTTTTGTTCCTCTCTTCTCCGTGCGCTCCTGTAAGAGAAATCACGGTGTGAGAGAGTGACTAGTCAAAGAGTTCTGCAGCTGAGTGGAAACTAGGACATTCGCTCTCCAAAGTCCTCGTCCAGCAGCCTCACAACTACTTCACACTGACTCTTCAGTGTGTGATGACATGTTTTAAGGCTTTCAGTTCTTACAAACAGTATGTGATTCGTGTTAGGAAGGAGATCTAGAAGCCAAGCGTGTTATTAAATCACTGCTAATAGCAATACTAAAGGACAAAATCCTATTGTGGTACCATGCATTTACAGAATGAGGTTGTGCCTAAGGGAATTGCAAAGCACTAAAGTGGAAGTGCTATCCTTGAAGCGCTTTTGCTGGCAGATTGTGCCATCATGGCAGGGATACTGATTGCCAAGGTAGCTGCCAAATGGGGACTCCCAATTTCCAGCTCAATCTTTTACACTGCTGTTCTAAAGCCACTTAATTTAAAGAAGTGCCACTGAATTCAGCGAGGCCCTGTGGAACACGAGCCCCGGGTCAAGAGGTGCTGATAGGAGTGCCGTCCTGCCCCAGGGCGGATGTAGGCACTCGGACAGCTCCACGTCCCTTCCCTCCCAAGTTGATACATCAAGCAGTGGACACCACTGACTTGGAAAAAGGGACTGAAAGGGTTATCGGTGGGGACCCAGACAACACTGGTTTTGGTAGGAAAGGAGGAGGGGTAGTAGCGGAGGCGGGAACAGGAAAAGGTATGGGAAAGGAGGAGGGGTAGTAGCGGAGGCGGGAACAGGAAAAGGTAGCTGGCACTCGGGACATCATCCCGGGTGGATGGCAGGTAGTTGGCACTCGGGACATCATCCCGGGTGGATGGGAATTAGAATGGATGCAGGACCCATGGACTGGGAAGTGGGAACAGGTCCGTGTGCCCAGGCAAGAGGCTGAAAGCCGGAGGAAGAAGGGACTGCCTCAGCGCCCGTCGTACTGGGAAGAGACAGAGACCCGGGAGTGGCGCCATAAGCTGAGGGAGGAGAAAGAAGCTGTGGAGAGGGAACGTGAGGCAAAAAGGGCATAGCATATGGAGCAGTTGCGAAAGATGGGGTGCTTCCTGGGCCCTGGGACACCCAGTGGGTTGATGGATCCCCGTTCTGGGGATGGAGTGGGGATGAGAAGACCACCCCTCTACTAATCCTGGATCCAGAAGACGGGGTACCCCAAGAACCTGAAAGGGTTCAGGCTGGTCCATGGGCCTCGAAGTCAACTAACCCGTTTGAGAAAGAATAATGGTTGCCCCTGTCAGAGCCGTTACTCCCTCAGGAGAAGTTCGTTCCCAGTTTGTTGGACATTTCTGTACCAGTGCCGCCATTAATAAATGAAGCCGAGTTGGTTGGTTTAAAAACGTCTCATGATTTATTTGAAATGGGGGAGGCGAAGAATGGTGAAACCTCACAGGCCCACTTCTGAGCAGACATGCCTAGGTTTGTACAGACAGCTGCTCCCTTCAGCGAGATTGCCAAAAGGGTGGACATAGTTGCCCCACCCCGACTTCCTGTAGTCTTACTAGCAGTAGCCTTTTTGAAAGAAAGTCTGTTAAGTAATACTGTTGCTACCTGTTGTTGTTTTATAAATCTATTACTGTTCTAATTTTTTTTGTAAATTATATTGTTGTGCGCACGTCTACAGATGCTTTGCAGAAAATCAGTCTACAAATGCAGTCAACTAAATTGCTTGATGAATCTGTTTACAGAAAAGAATATGTCGATGCTTACATCAATCACATGCTCACTGTTTCCGTTAAGAACCAGTTTGAGGATTTCAGGCGTGGATTTGAAAGAGGCTGCCCAACTAACACATGGCAAATGTTCCTTCCTGCTGAGCTCCGAGTTGTCCTGCTGGGACATAGGGAATATGACTGGGAACAACTGGAAAAGGTAGAATGTGCTTTACCTGGGGCTGGATTAAGCACTGAGTGAGATGTGTGATAGAACTGGGTTGTACTTGTACTGCTTTCTTACTTCCTTGGCAATTGGTACCAAAGATAGGAAGTCTTGCTTCATTCTTACTGTTTTTCCCCTTGTTTTGGGATAACTCTCGAGTCCTACACAAAGTATCACTTCCGTTCCCTTTCCCAGCACCTTCTGTGGTGCCAAAAATCTCCAGCCCTTCAGAGCAGACATTTAGGTAATACTGGGAAGAGGGCTGTGGGAGGGGGATTGTCTGCTTTGCAAAGGTTCCTAGTGGTTTTGGAAATCTATCATTGGATTCTGGGCACTGTCCGGAGTCTATAGATGCTTGCTTGGGAGTAAGCTTCACTCAACACATTGGGAATTTTGTTGCACTGAGCGTGCATTGGCTTGCATTATGAAAAGGTTAAAGGTACACACCTGGGCTTCTGCATGGCTGTATTATCTAAACCACTCTAAAAGTTCTATGTGCAGCGATCTTTTTGTGAGCACCAATGTTACATCCACAGCCCAGCATGCTCTGCACCACCATAAAGGATTCCAGGGTGCTCCTTTTTGATTGTGCAGAAGAGAGTCTTGCAGCAACAGACGCCTGACATGGCCCTCATTTGCCGAGGGTACAAACTGCAGACCTTGCAAAACACCAGCGATCTGCTAGACTTCTTACTCTGCTGAGTTTCTTTCTTATGGAGAAGGAGAGTCATGTGACATCAGAATCAGAGAGTGGTAGTGCTAGTGCTATGGCCGTTGCTCTTAACTGGTCTCCATCAGTTTCTTCCTTTGGACGGATCTGGGTGATGGCGCACAGCTCATATATCCTTGTCCAGTTGCCCTCCATATTCAGGCTTAGAAGCCACTGCAGTTGGGCCGGTGTCCTGCAAATCATACAATAACACCTAAGAAGCAGTTAGGTTGACTCCAGCTGTTTCGCAAGCTACAGCTTTGCCTTTCTTCTGCTTTGCACTACATGATGCACAGAGTGAGCCTCTGACTCCACCTACCAAAGCTTAAAGATGACTGAAATGTAATTAGATTATCTTGGATAATGAATATTTATATAAAGAGATGTTGAAGGAATAATAGCACGAGGTGTGTTTTTTTTTAATTCTCTATTTCAGAATGCTGACTATGCTGGTTATGAGAAGTCAGATGAGATAATCCAGGATTTTTGGGCTGTGTTCCATGACCTTCCTGAAGAAAACAAGAAGAAATTTCTTGGTAATAATCTCTTTGTTTAAAAAAAAATGAAAATTACTTACATGATACTAATCTACTCCTTTTAGAGGCTTTAATGGGAGCCTATTATATACATAAAGGACCAACATAAATGAAGAATGAATGCATCCGTTTCTTGTAGGTTCTTGTTACTCACTCATGTCCTGTTCCATATGTTTTTAGTTAAGTTTCGTTTTAAAGGTTTTACTAATTCAATGTATTTTAATTAGTATTATAGTTTAATTGTTTTTAATGTATAATTTATTGTAATTCTAATTCTATACTTTCAAACACTGTGAGCCACATTCAGTCCCCTTATTGGGAGAAAGGCAGCCTTGTAAATGAGACAGAACAATCAATAAATATAAAGACCTTAGGTTCATATATTTTATCTTCTCCAAACACATGCTGTGAGAGTCTAGAGGCTAAGAGTGAGGGCAAACACACTGGGACCCTCTAGATCATCAGTCCGCAGCCTTTTTGGGACCGCAGATCAGCTGGGGGGAGCGAGCTGCATGCACGGAGAAAGGCAGCCTTGTAAATGAGACAGAACAATCAATAAATATAAAGACCTTAGGTTCATATATTTTATCTTCTCCAAACACATGCTGTGAGAGTCTAGAGGCTAAGAGTGAGGGCAAACACACTGGGACCCTCTAGATCATCAGTCCGCAGCCTTTTTGGGACCGCAGATCAGCTGGGGGGAGCGAGCTGCATGCACGGGGGGACGGGATCCTCTAGATCATCGGTCTGCAGCCTTTTTGGGGCCGCAGACCAGCTGGGGGGAGCGAGCTGCATGCACGGGGGGATGTCACATGAGCACGATGGGTGTGTCACGCTTGCACACATACACGCAGGCGCGACATGCCCCCATGCGGGTGCAACATGCCCCCATGCGGGTGCAACATGCCCCATGCACATACGAGTGGGGGACGGAGATCCGTATCCGCAGCCCAGTTCCAGCAAGCACTGGGCCGCAGACTAGGGGTTGATGACCCCTACTCTAGATGTTGTTGAATTGCAAAATGGCCATCATCTCTCCCCAGTTTCTACACTAGCCATAGCTAGTGCTGGAGGATTTCCAGATGCTTTCCTCTGGACAAGCAGTGGGTGATTCCCTTGAGACCAAGGAATGGAAGTCAGCCATTTGGTCGACCCAGTTTGTGAGCAAGTTTTATTTTAAGACATGGTTCATCCCTTTTAGTTTTGCTCTCTTATCTTGGGGCTTCCCTTGGTTTCCCATCTATGATTCTGGTCAGGTTTACTCTTGGACCTCTGCAAGTTCAGTAGATCCAGCACTGCTTGATCCTGTGAACTGAGGGAATGGGTCCACCTCCACCGTTCTGGTGCACATCTGCTATGTAACTTACAGATGCTGTTCTCTCCGATGGTCTCTACAAGCCTGGGAATCATGTAGCCAGTAGGTGACATGTGGCTCCCCTTCAGCTGCACCTCCCTCCTCCCAAATTCCCTGAGGCCTTCCCAGAACCCTCTCTTAGTGGAAAAAAATAGTTCATTTGTTTTGGCAAAAATGGAGAATCACCAAGCCTCCAGAACTGGCCACTTTCTCTAAAGGAAGATACAGATCCTTGCTTTCATGCAGGTGGGTGGATGGTGGAGGCAAGATGCATGTATAAGCTTTAACAATAAATAAATTGAACTTCTTATTTTGAAAAGAAAAATGTGGGAAATCTGCATTTTTTTTAAGGATTTATGGTCTCTTTTGGGTCCTGGAAGGGCACAGTAGGCCTCCACAGCTTGGCCATACCTACATTTCAGAATTTGCTTCATAGAAGTGTTGAAGGCTCGTCTGCTAGTTCAGATGTAACTTCACCTTTCCTTCCCTGGCTGAAATCCACCGTACTTTTCTGATAAAACACACTGTGGTTTTTACTTTGTGTAATTTTTTTATTCTCTTTCATTTTGTTCAGCTTTCCTTACAGGAACTGACCGCATTCCAGCCCAAGGGATGGAAAAATTCACATTCATAATTGCAGATCCAAAACAAACAGACCCAGACTCGTGGTATCCTATAGCCTGCACTTGCCTTAGAATCTTCTTTCTGCCACGATACACTGACAGAGACATTCTTGAGAAAAGGGTTCTCTGTGCTCTTGAGTGGTTTGAGAAATTTGGCCTGGCCTGAAGGCTGGAAGGACATTTCCCTACAACTGCCATCGCTTCCCATCTAACTAATTTATTGTTGTTTCTTTCAAGTGGGGAGGGGGAAATGACATCTGGTTCTGCAGAAGACAAGAGAATTTTTACTTGTATAGGCAATGCGCTGCAGGAGCTAAAAATATTTGTCTATTGACTGGGGATATCTGGGCTCAGATCTTCACTGAGCAATAAAAGGAGATATGTTTGGTGGTTGATTTTGCACCAGTCACTTTCTCGTTGACCTACTTCACAGAGTTGTTGTAAAGGTAATTTAAACCATTTGTATACGCCTGAAGTTTTTTGAAGAAGAATAAAAATTTAATTTTTTAAACAAACCTAAATTGCACTGAATTTGCCCTTTTTGCCGGAGAGGGAAGGCAGTAAATTGGTAGAAAGCAGCATTAGTGTTATATGATTACACTGCTACTCCTTTGGGGGGGGATCACATGTACACACACAATCCCATTTCTGCAGAATGGGCTGAGTTGAAAAAAAAGGGAGAATGAAGGTTTTGCCCAAATCTAAGTGACTAGAGCTGCAAGTTCCATCTCTGAGTTTGCTGGCAGTCAGTGGCCAAGGTTCAACAGAGATGGGATCATGCAGTGTGTACCTTATCTATTATTAAAAAAGCTGGTATTTGTTATGTAGTGGGTGGAGTACTAGACTAAGATTAGGAAGATCTGGATTCAAATCTCCACTCAGGCATACAAGGTCTTTGAGCAACCATGGACACTGGGGAATGACATGGATGCATTGTTCTAGAACTGAGATCTTAAGACACCGTATGTGATTACTTTAATGAAAGTGAGCAAGTCTCTGGCTCTGGTCAGAGCTGAGATAGGAGACTGGGAACCCCATGTATACCACTTTGAATAGTTATGGCTACCTGAATTAAGAGCCAGAGGTTGGGAGTTTGATTCCCTGTTGTGCTTCCAAAGAATAGAGCCAGCCCATGTAGTCTTGGGCAAGCTGCCCAGGCACTCCCATAAGAAGGGAACAGTAAACCTCTTCTGGTTATTCCATACCTCAAATCCTGGAAAGGGTTGCCATAAATTGTAATTGACTTGATAGTATGCAATTATTTTAACACGGAAGTAATTAATATACCACTTTAATCTCCGTGGTAGAAGAGTGGATTAAAATATAATAAATATATAAAATGTTCAGGACTCAGGGGTAGGCTACCAGTCATGCATGCAACAATGTGACAATATTAAAAGACTGCCCTGCCACTCTTGCATGGCACGGGAAGAAGCATTCCAGTTTGCAATGCACCAAACCAATGTCAGCACTGAGAAGCCAAGAAACATCTGCCCAAGCAGGGGGCAGGATGTTTAAGACAAGAACTGCATTTCCTCTGCAAAGAGAAAAGAAAACCCTAAACCTCTAGCCAGGGGGTCAGCAACTTCCAGAGGATCAGGGACCCCACAAGTGCACGCATGCACACACCCCACATCTTACAAGGTTTCTCTCACCCGACCCTAATTACAAAAACTTATTCAGAAAGTTCTCTCACGTGACACATAGCTCCCAACCCGCCACCAGCTACATAAGTATCTCCAGAGGAGGAGAACTCCAACCTCTGGAAGCAATCCGTGCCATAGCTCAACAGCCTCACTGTCAGAAAGTTATGTTTCTTCCCATTTCTAACTCTCCTTAAGGGTGGAGAAAAAGCAAAGCAGAAAAACTATGAAGTTAAGAATACGAGTACAGTACTAGACAATACCTTTATAGGTCACTAATAATTTTTTTAAAGCTACACTATGCAAGCTGAGCTTTTGTGAATAAACCCCACTTCTTCAAAGCAAGTAGCAAAAGTCCAAACATTCGTGGCAAGATAGGATTCACCAAGCAGTTATTCTCAGATGTAAAGTTCATGGCAAGATGAATTTTCACCAGGCACCTCTGTTTTAAATGAGGCAGGAAGTTGTTTTAAGGCTACCACTGGGGCAGCTGAGAAGCTGAGAGAAACACTACATTTCCCACACATTTTGTAGATCCACCCAAGCCCAAAGGTGGGTGGTATTTCAATTTAAGGAGTAACTTGTTTGCATCTTGTATGTCTGAACACACTATAAGTAGCAAAATTCAAATTTTATTTATTGATTGATTGATTGATTGATTGATTGATTGATTGATTGATTGATTGATTGATTGATTGATTGATTGATTGATTGGATTTCTATCCCATCCATCTAGACTAAAGGTCTACTCTGGGCGGTTTACAAATTTAAAAACAATAAAACCAAAAACATATATTATAGGTCCAAGATGGCAAAGTATAAGAAATTAAGATATGGCAGGAGGGAAAGCCTGCCCAAATAGCCAAGTTTTAAGTTTATTCTTGAAAACACCCAGAGAGGAGCCAGGTGGATATCCACTGGCAAGTTGTTCCAAAGGTGAGGGGCCACTGCCGAGAAGGCCCTGTTCTTTGTTCTTTCCTTCTGGACCTCCCTCTGCGTTAGGCAGGCAATCCTTTTAAGGGAGGGTCAAAGCAAAATGCTTCACATTTGGGGAAGGTCCCAGTTAACCTTGATCACTCTGAGAATTAATAATGGGATCATTTTAGTCATGCAGTAGGAAGGTGGATAAATACTGTTGTTCTCTGGGTTGACAATATTATGTTTTTACACCTAAAGAATAATTTATTCCACAAGAACTAGAGATTTCTGTCCTAGCCGGCTGTTTGTTTTGTTTTTGTATTGCTTCCAGTTTTTCCTCTCACAAAATGTTCCACATTATTATTAGGCTTATGTATCATTAACTCTCATGCATCTCAGTGCTTTAGTGTTACTATCATATGGGTAGTTCATCATGTCATGATGATAGGATATGTAGTCAGACAAATGTAAGATGGAGTCAGACAGGTTCTGTGCGAAGGTGATTTGAGAGACATTGGAATGTGTTTTCCTAAGCGCCATGAGAGTGTTTTCCTGAAGACCATTACAGCAGAGTTCGAGATAACGATGAAGGCCAAATTGAGAGGCCCATGGAAGACTCAACATTCTGAGCTAATTGGAGAAGAGATAAAACACCTGGACTCTCATGGGAATTAAGGGAGGAGGAAGATGTAACAGCCCCTTGAGGCTAATTGGTTAACAGCCAGAATTAAAATGTCAGGAAGAAGGAAGGAGTTAAAGAATGTAGAAAAATAGATGATGGGTTATGTGGAAGTATGTTCAATGGGATTCAATTCAATTCAATTATATGGAATGCTGAATGGTGATTCGATTCCATGAAGGAGAGAGGATGTAAGGAAAGGAGAAAGAAGGAGGTGGGGCTAGCCCACTATAGCCCATCTTAGTCTAGCTTAGTAGTTTTATTATTTTAATAGGAAATAGTTTTTTTATTTTAACTGCAATGATAATTGAATATCTTCTTGATGCTAATGCTTGTGCAATATAAACTGATTCTATGAAACTCTATTTTTCTAATTAAAAATAATTATAAAAATTCTACAAAAAGGACTGGTCTCTTGAACAGCAGGGTCTGGCTAAATCCAGGAGGTGGAGTAACTGCAATGATAATTGAATATGTTTTTGATGCTAATACTTGTGCAATATAAACTGATTCTATGAAACTCTATTTTTCTGCTGAGGTCTTGGGACTTGCCTCAGTGCAAAGGTGGAAGGTAAGTGCCTGTGGAACTCTCTGACTGAATCCCAGAGGCCCTTTAGGGGCTCCAGTGCATCACACATCAAACATGGGAAGTCATAGCAAAAAAATTCTCCTGCTAATACTTTGTCTGTTTTCTCTAGTATATTTGTGTACTAAAAGCCTTCAAAAAGGCATTGCCGACACGGGAACCTGCCTTATTGACTGGCTTGGAGGCTTCAGTCCAGCAACTGCGGGTAATGCGATGGTTTTTAAATTGGCAAGCTTGGGACTTGCCCCAGCGCAAAGGTGGTAGGTAAGTGTCCTGTCGAACTCTCTGACCGAATCCCAGAGGCCCTTTAGGGGCTCTGGTGCATCACACATCAAACATGGGAAGTCATAGCAAACAAATTCTCCTGCTAATACTTTGCCTGTTTTCTCTAGTACATCTGAGTACTAAAAGCCCTCAAAAAGGCATTGCTGACACAGGAACCTGCTTTATTGACTGGCTTTGAGGCTTCAGTCCAGCAACTGTGGGTAATGCGATCCCAGAGGCCCTTTAGGGGCTCTGGTGCATCACACATCAAACATGGGAAGTCATAGCAAACAAATTCTCCTGCTAATACTTTGCCTGTTTTCTCTAGTACATCTGAGTACTAAAAGCCCTCAAAAAGGCATTGCTGACACAGGAACCTGCTTTATTGACTGGCTTTGAGGCTTCAGTCCAGCAACTGTGGGTAATGCGATGGTTTTTAAATTGGCAAGCAAGTGTAGGTGTATGAGCTGTTCACCATCATTATGACCCAGCTTGGCCTGACAAAAAAATTATATGCCTTCTTTTAAAGATGATGTTAAAGACAGGCATGCCCTACTTATTAAAAAAACAGTTTTCTGAGCCATTTGTCTTCATGGTCCCAGTTCTATGAAAAAGATGCTTTTGGTTGTGTTTCATGGGCATAAATCTCCTTTTGACCCTCCCCCTAACTAATACAGTTACTTTCCTTTGATGCATCTAAATAAATGGATTGCAAATGTAATCCACAAAAATAGCATTAGTCTTAAAAGAGTCATGATACTTTTCTTTCCGTTGTTACTAACACAGTTAAATTTCTGAACATTTGGACTTCACACTGGTACCAACCTGATGAAGCGGTGTTTTAATCCACAATAGCTCATGAATTGTATGATTATTTTAACGGCTTATACTATAAAGGTATTGCCTGTTTTTGCATTTGTATTTTATTTTGTTTGGGCCATATAGCAAACCCTTTGTTCTGATGGGTTTCTCTTTCCTTCCTGGTCAGCTTTTAACAATGTATTGAATGTACTGGGGAAGGGTTTGGCCAAATATTCTTCACACTTGCTGCTCAGGGACTAACAATGTTGATAGATCACTGCCTCTAGTTCCTTATCTTAAAAGAGGAATTGGACTGCCCAACTTTTCAAATAATATTTTTGTATCTATTTAAAATGTTCATTGTTTTCCTGCCCATCAAGGCTCCCAAGGCATTTTACAATAGCTAAGGATAATCAAGAGCAGAGTAAAAACATGCAAAACAAACTAGAAAAATTTAAAGTGATAAAAAACATCGAAAAACAGATTTAACACATTTATGAACAGAACTAAAATGATCTGCAAAAGCCAATTTAAAAACAAATAATGCTGGAAACCAAAGAACTGGTAAACTACTTCTAAATACTCTGTACTGAAAAACGG